CTACGGTCCCAATGCCTATGCGATACCAAGGGAGAGCCCAACTCAAAGAGACCCAGCTAAGTGAGAACCATCATGCGACAGATGCAAGGGAATGTACAGGGTAGGGTGGTGGCGTGAAGTAGTCACGTCCACAGTAGAAGCCGATAAGATGGCTGAAGTCGAGAAGGTAACTGAAGTCGATGACGTCGATGAAGTAAGGAGTCGAGGTCGATGTCGAAGCAGAGCCGCAAAACGCTGACATCCTGAAGAAGCTGATGATGGAGTACCTGATGGTGTGAGTCAGTAGGGAGATGGTAGGTGATCAGAGTGCCAATCGTCAAGACGCCGAGGGCGTCGACGAGTGCGCTGTGGACGCACGGAGACGTCCATCTGCTGCTGAAGAATGGCCTCAGAGGGAGCGGGCTCGTCCTCAGCAATCTCCTCAGCCGGAGGAGGAGGAAACGGGTCAGTCAGCTGAGTAGGAGTAGATGTCTCAGCACGACGAGCACGATCATATGCACGCACCAACATCCGAGCGTGCTGCAAGTGCTCGAGGGGCTCCCAAGTCTGCCAACGGAATAAGACCACTACATGAGCCCCTCTCAGTCTTCTCAGACCCTTGCCTATTCCCACAGGACCCGGAGATTCTATGTCCATTGACTTTATGGATGTTGGGGTCAAGAGTAGGCATGGTAAGAACCAAGTCATGGTTGTAGTTGATAGATTTAGTAAATATGCAGTTTTGTTCCTTTACCCGCAGAGGCACGAACAAATGTAGTTATAGACAAGTTCTTTGACCATTGGGTCAGTGAACATGGTCTCCCGCTGTCAATAGTTAGTGACAAAGATACCAAGTTCTGGCAGGAGTTGATGAGAGTCTATGGCTCTAAGTTGCTGACGTCATCTGGCCATCATCCCGAGACTAACGGTCAGACTGAACAAATGAACAAAATCCTGCAACAAGTTCTCATCATGTATATTAGACGTGATCAGCTTATTGGGATGAGATGCTTCCCAAGGTGGCCAGCGCATACAATAACAGTGTGCACTTAGCGACTTGTCGCACTCCCAACGAGTTACATAAGTCCTTCAGATCACGTAGACCGTTTGAGGGACTGAACCGGGATCAGATTCAAAGGCTACCGCCCGGTACTAGGGAGTTTGCACTACACTACGAGAAGGAGATTGCTACCGTCACAGAGAACCTCAGGAAGGCCCAGCATAGAATGATAGAGCAATCCAATAAGCACCGTCGCCCATCACAGTTTCAAGTAGGCGACTTAGTCTGGGTCAAGTCCAAAGAGTTTGTTCTTGAGGAGAACATCTCGCAAAAATTACTGCCTGCATACCGAGGACCGTGGCTAGTCTTAGAAGACAAGGGCGGAGAGGATGGACCGTCCTACACAGTCGAGATTCCAGCACACCTCCTCACCTACCCAATGTTTCACTCGTCAAAGTTGCTGCCTTGTATCACAAGTCGACAGTTTCCATCACGAAGGTCCATGATCCCTCCGGACATGGATGCGAGGTACGACATTGACGGCATTGTAGGTGAAGATGTCTTCAGAACAGGAGGTAGGGGTCGTCCACAGAAACAGTGGAAGGTCAGGTTCGCTTTTCAGGAACCAGAAGACAACCGCTGGTTTACAAGAACAGAACTGCTTGACACCGCTCCCGATGTAGTTCGCGCCTCTGAGAGAGAGAAGAAGAGTAAAGGTCCAGCCTTCGACTGAAGTATTCTCGGAGGACCTCGAATTTAGGCCGGCGGGAGTGAAACGGTTTTCACCTTTGCAGACACAGATGCGGATCCCAGGGTTCGATCCCCAGACCTCGCCTTACCTTACCTTGCCTGTGTACAGTATCAAGTCGACCCTGTGAGTCTTGAACCCGTGACCTGTGTGTTAGTAGTTGAAAGTTGTCTGTCGTAGGACTGAGTAGTTGTCGGGTCTTAAACCTTAGACCTGTCAAAGTAGTGGTCATACCTGCATTAGGGGTCATAGTTGTTGAAGTTCTGAAAGGTCAAGGTCGTAGCTGCTACAGTCCTGAAAGGCCAAGTCCGCAAACTTCCGGAAGGTCCGGAAGTGGCCTTTCAAAGTTTCTTCTCACGTTATACACAGTAGGCCAGAGGCAAGTGGGCAAGTGGTGAGTCCAACTTCGCTTAGTCAGCGGTACCCAGTCCCAGTCTCACTTTGTACAGTCAGCAAGTACCATGAGGGACTGTGTGCACCATGGGCCCGGTGGAAAAGGGCAGACCAGCGACCTACAGAAGAATAAATCAAGAGGCAGCGTCCAGCCATTCATTCATTCGCTGTGTGAGCCATGCGGAAGCGCTGCCCCAGCGTCTTGTGCGAGGTGGTCTGCAGGTTGCCCAAAGTCGAAGTGGGCTGAAGGAAGATAGAGTTTCCATAGTCAGTAGTAGTTGAGCGGCCATAGCCGCCGTGGGTTAGAGACAGGCGTTAGTGTGTTGTGTGTAGTACAGGGAAGCATGTGTGATATCCAGGGTGATCCAGAGTTGAGTGTATGCAAACGATGGTTGTGGACACAGTGTCGGTGAAGAGAGTCGTTGGACGCTCAGTCGCCATAGCCTGTTGAAGTGAGTTTGCATCTGAACTGTGTTCTCGGTCTCCATATCTCTGAGCTTTGAGTGGGCGCCTGGCGCCAGATTGGTCCGCAATCTGTTTATATGCATGCAAAGTGAGAAATAAAGAGAGTCTGATTGCAGGTGGATCTGCGGAAATGCAGACGGAGTTCAGGGGACGATGAGAGTAAATTCTGGAAGGTCTGGGGAGACTAAGCCAGGCTGGTGAAGAAGGACCCTGTGACAGGAAGACTGGTCTTTGGCCCGCCACTGCAGAAGTATGTGGTAGACATGGAGTAGTAGAGTCTGGGTCATCTCTGTTGTATAGTTAATGATAGGTAGAATAGGTTAGAGGCCCGTGTAAGATCAAGCAGGGGGGTTTGGGTAAGGGGGGAGAGGGTCCATCACCCCGGAGGATAGAGGGGGGAGAGGTGGGTGAAATCTGGGAGATTTGTAGTATTGGTAAAGAGTTTCAGCTCTATGAGGTGATTGTGTGTGGAAGGGGCAAGGGGGCAAGAAGTGTTGTGATGGTAAAAATAGAAGCGTAATTACTGTCGGCAGGCGGCTAAGCTATTTTCTGAACATCTCTACTTTGAACCATGTTCTATGCTTTGTCGGCTAGGGCCACATTCCCCCCTGTATGGAAGCTAGGGCCACAGTCCTTGGGAGGCCAAGCTGTTTTCTGAATCTCTCTTCTTTGAACCATATTCTATGCTTGCTGGTGATAAGCAACCAGACTGATGGCCCCCATAATAAATGGGCCCGTGTTTTCTTTGAAATAAACAAATAGTTTAAAATAAACTAGGCCGGGCAGGGAGGGGTCCGCCAGGGAAAACCGGGCGGCAGAAAAAGTGTCAATTTTTTTTTTTCCCTTGGGAGGCAGGGTCTTCTGCGCGAGGACACCAAATCCGCAACAGAAAAGTCCAACGTCGCATATTGATCTGGGGCGAGGGACGGAGGAGGGGAAGGGGTGGGGGCGGGTTGACAAGACGATTAACCAGGTGCTAAGAAGAAGAAGAAGACGTAGAAGGGGAAGAAGAAGACGTAGAAGGGGAAGAAGAAGAAGAAGAAGAAGAAGAAGAAGAAGAAGAGAGGAGGAAGAAAAAGAAGTACAAGACAGGGGTGTCGAGGTTCAAGATCGGGGATGGACAGAGCTTGAAGAAGAAGACGAAAGAAGGAAGAACAAGAGGGTCGAGCGTAGGAGATGGCGAGATGCGGGTTGGAGCCCTTGGAGTTGTTGGCGGTAGATGGTGGGTGGTGGTGGAAGCAGAAGAAGGGGAAGAAGAAGAAGAAGGGGGTTTGGAGAAAGCGAGGTGGTGGTTGGAGCGACGGGGGGGAGGGGCAGATGACGTGTAGGGCGCAACTGGAGGAAAGGGGGAGGACAAATGTTATCGGGGGATTTGGGGCCGAAGGGCTATGAGGGACACCACTGAGGTCGGGGAATGGCCTCTCTCTCTCTCTCTCTCTCTCTCTCTCTCTCTCTCTCTCTCACACACACACACACACACACACACACACACACACACACACACACACACACACACACACACACACACACACACACAACA